CGCGGTTGAGATTTTTTTTTTTTAAAAGCCACAAGCTGGGAAAAGAATTGATGCATGTGCAATTTGACGGCAACCATCTTTGACCTCAAGCGGCTGAAGGGCGGCGCGAGCGCTCCCCGGACTCGTTGCCGTCCTCCCAGCCCGCAGAGGACGCACGGCCCGGTCGCCGCTGGACTTCGAGCGGAAGGGCTTATTTTTACAAAGTGAGGGTTACTTGTTTAGAGTTACGTGTTTACAGCTGCTTCGCTTTGCTTTCGCTCAAGCGACGCCAAAGAAGAGCGGAGGTCTAAACGGCAGAGGCAGCCCAAGCGGTCCGAAAGGTCCCCCGCTCTCCCTGTACCGCTGAACAGCGCTTTGTGGCCGATACCCCGATTTCCTTAGCGAGGGCAACCAGCCAGCAGAAAGGGAGCATACCACGCCAGCCCCTCAACCACTGGCGGCCAGCTCCCGGCCAGGGTTTTGACACCTGCACCTGAATTTACACTAACCCCCCCCCGTATTTGCTGACCTTCTCGGATGATGTGTTTTCCTGCCGGGACGCGGCTGGGCTGCATCTGCCCCGGCTGGTCATCGCAGGGGCCTTGCCCAGGCCCGCGCGGGAAGGAGTTCAGATTCAGTTTCATGCTGGGATTTAAGATCTGTCCCGTGGGCATAACTTCTGCCTCTCTCCCAGGTGGAGGGGGCTGTAACAGAGGGGGCAGCCCTTGAACGAACTCCATCACGATTCCAGAGCAGACAGCGGGCCGTTTTTTAAGCTTTAAAGAAACGGATCCAGTTTGGCTGCTGGCTCTTCTTTATCTGTGCGAAGAGGATTACTGGAAAGCTGTGTTGACAAATGCCACAGCTAAAAAGGAAAATGAACCTCCACACAAAGACGGCTTGTTTGTGCGAAGTGGAGAGGGGGGGGAAAAAGCTGCCAAAAAGCTGACATTAAACCCTGCGCTTACCTGCAACTCATCTGATAGGATGACTGAAGCCTTTCATTTGCAGCAACATAATCCAAGATGTTCTTCCACAAAGCAAGAAAGTAGGTTATTGCTAAAGCAGAGCTGGGGAGGGGGAAGGGGAGAACTACCCAGGGCACAGTGGTGGGCCCCATCCTGCAAGGTGCTGTGCACCCTGTGCACAGGCTCTGAACACAGGCTCAGGCCCTGGCTTACGTCTCGTTTTTGAGCTTGCCTTCAAGCCCTGACTGCCAGGCTGCTTGTGCGTGCTCCCCAATTCTGACCGGGATGCAGAGAGGCACTTAGAGATGATAGATGCACACGAGCAATCCCCCAGCCCTGCCTTCAGCTGCTGCGGTCCCACACGTGTAATATGGAAGCCTGGAGGCAAGAGACATAAAAACAATAACGCTTAGCACTTATGTAGCACTTTTCATCTTCAAAGTGCTTTGCTGATATGAATGAATTAAAGACCCTGGATCAAATAGCCACATAAAAGAGGGCTGCACATCCTGATCCCATCACAGATGAAAAATAGCAATATCTGAGGTATTATAAAGAGTTATATAAGCAATCTAATCTCCCACTCAAGGCTGTAAACTGATCGCTGTATTTATGCATGGGCTGGGGGGGAAAATTTCACTGCAGGCAGCACGCCACGATTAGCCAGGGGGGACTACTGTCCAAGTTCACCAGCCAAATACTGGCTAAAGCCAGGAACAAAGCAGGTTCAGAGGCTTTATCAGCTGCTCCAGGCTGCAATATCTATACTCACATTTTAGATATCTAAGTTGTATCGGGTCATTTCAGTCGTTCTTACCTTTGTGGCATCTCTGCATGTAAAACAAAGGCTCATGTGGCAAGAGGAGCGACCCCAGTTTCATCTTTGGGTTACCTCTGTAGTAACGTGGAGTCACGCATTGGTTCTCATGAAATCTGGAGTATTATTAGCCCATTTTACCAAGCAAGAGCTAAACTGTGGGTGAAATCGGCTTCCAGATCTGGCTGGAGCTGTTTGCAGCATCTGCCTGCTCGCAGCGCCTGGGCAGCGGTGGGGCTGAGTCAGCTGGGTCCCTCACGTCAGCCATGCAAGGTAAGAGCTCCGGGGACGCGCTCCCGGGAGAAGCCTGGCAAGCAGGGCTGTGAGGGGACAGTCCTTGCGGCAGGTGGGGACAGGGCCAACAACCAAGTGGGGCTGGCAAGTTTTTCTGGCGCCTTCTCGCACAAGTGAGTGCCCATCCACCCCGAGGCCTTTTGTTTCAAAAGCAACGTAGTTACAGTAAAATAATCATGGCTACACAGTGCTTTGTTCCAGTTTGATTAAGGCAGTTCAGAAGCGGTGCAACTTTCTCCTGCAGACGAAAGCCACGTAGGGAGCCTGGGTCAGAGCAAGGAGCTGAACCAGCCCCACCTGAATGCAAGGTCCGTCTTGACACCGCAGCAGCCTTCCCCGATTTTCAGGCACGCAAGCACAGGCTCTCCCCGGCCTCCTGGCTAATCGATGTGCTGCACCCATGAGGGAAAGGCAACTGGTGCAAACAGCTTCTCTCCCACGTGAAGGAAAGACAATATTTTTTTTTCCAATTGTCTCCAAAAACTTGGATAAACTGTAATTGCTTTACTTCTGGAAATACTGCTGGGCCTGCTACCCCAGTAAGATGTTAACAACTTGGCCCTGCACAAAAATACCTCTTTTTTTTTTTTTTTTTTCCTGGCTACAAATTAAGCAGAAGAATAAGAAAGAAAAGGAGGAAGTTCTCTTAACCCTGGCAACTATTTATCACCAGTGACAGGGAAAGACTTAAATCACTCGAGGAGCCTTCAGTTAAGGCAAGAACACAATACTGTAGCTGCTACGTTCAAGCATAAGAGCTTTGTTTTCCATACAATAAAAGCATTGTAGGGCTGCACAGTGTGCGGATCGAGGAAAGCAAAAATGCTGAGCAGGTTAATTAATCTCCTTAGCTCTTCTAGTACCGTGTTGTACTGCAGCCCAGCCGCAGACGTTTCCCATCCTTTACAGCCAAGAAACACCGCGGGCAGACCAACCTCATCACATGGTCCAAATTGTCAAACTGCTGGAGTACAAGGCAAGAAGTCCAGCTGCCTTCAGCAGGGTGAGATTTTGGCCCACAGTGAGCTCTCAAAAAAGCCACTGCATGCTTACAAGCGCAGATAATGGAGGAACGGGAATGATTACTTAATAGAAAATACCCCACAAAGAGGTTTGGCTTTGCACCCTCCTTACCAACATTTCCTTTTGGGCTAAGGAGCAGGCAGCAGGGCTGCTCTCCCCCGACACCCAGGCCAGCTACTCAGGTGTGGAGAACCGGCACAACTTCACACACGAAAGCCAAGCAATGCAAAGCCATGCAACTCAGGATCTGGCCCCTTTGGTCCTTATTGCTATGACTGATGGCTGTAATGATCCTTGTGCACCAACACTGCTCCTCTGAACAGTCTGAGCCTGGAGGGGGAAGAGGATCTGGAGGGCATCTTCACTGCTTCAGCTGCTCAAAAGTTGTCACGTCAACCAAAGGCGGCCAGCCCTGGTGTCCAGCAGTGACATGAACGAGCACGTCGTCCCTCAGACTGCGCCGCCGCCTCACGCGAGCCCAGGCTGCCGCTTCCCCCATAGCCCGGCATGGGCCCGCACTGATCTTGCCGAAAACCCCGTTTAGTTCCTCACCTTGTGGCCATGGGAACAGCAGCCCTGGGACAAGGCAGGGGACAAGTAGCTGGGGGTGGTCAGGAGGGCAGGACATCTCTTCTGGCAGCAGCGCAGACATGCATCTAATTAAAATGACTGCACCACCACTGCCTTAGACAAGTCTGCAAATGCCGGTTTTCTGCCCTGGGCTTCGGTCGGGCTTTGCCCGTCTTTAGGAGGAAGACGTGCTCTACGGCTGTACAGCTGGGCACGGTGAAATGGTGAGTTTGCAGATACAGAGGGGCTGCAGTAGCGTCGTTCTTTTGTTCGCTGGCAAGATTTCTGGT